CCTCACTCATCACATACCAACACTCCATTCACCTCAAAGCAGACAGACTTCAGTCGTTGAATGGTTCTCAGTCACTTCCTGCTGCCCAGGTGCTTCCTACGTCATGTCTTTTACCAGACAGCAGCACGCAGTCATGTCACCCACTTTGTGCAACGGTGATCAACTCCACATGATGAGCTGAGTTCTTGCCAAAGTCTATTCGGCAAGTAACATTCAGGTCTCTAGCAGACCGTGCACACAGATGATAGTTGTTTTCCGAAGTCTGACACACCTTCGCTGGTCGCATGCAAGTAGCCAAGACACAGTAATCAGCACACAGATAAGGACGGTATCATTCAAATTAGCTTCTTCAAATCAAGAAGATACCACAGGTAGTAAGGTACCCATGCAGGTGAATTTGTGCCGCCTGTCACGGCAGCAACGCCTTGCCTTTCACCATGGCAAGGAGCCAGCATAGCTATTGCGCAGGTGCAGTGCGTATTTATTTGTTAAATGCCGCCTAGACTGGCACTCTTTTTAGTCCACCGCACGAATACCAACTCTGCTATTGCCTGTCTCTTCCAACATGACTACACGTTCTTTAGATTCAGATTTGCACCGGATACCTGAGCCGATATTCTACCCCTGTCGGGTTCGACACACCAGGGTACATCCAGTTGTTCATTCATTCTCCTATCCCTATCTTTGGGTTGTGCTGCCTGTTCGGTGGCGGGGCAACAGTATTGAGAAATACAACTTGCCTGTGGTCGGTTCTGGATGGTTTACCGTGGATCCTGGTGATTACTTGGAAAGAGGCAACCATGCTGGACTGCACGGGAAGCTTCGTCAGTATCTGCATAGTCAGGTAAAACCGTCCGTCATCTGCGCGTGTGTCTCACTAATCTTCAACCCAGCGCCTCCAGGATGAAGATTACCCCTACGTCTTTCTTCTTACTGCTCCCAAAGTGCTAGGCCATGTCTTTAATCCCGTCTCTTTCTGGTATCTATATTCCATCAACAAAACCTTGGCCGCCGTTATCTTAGAGGTGAACAACAACTTTGGTGAGCGGCATATGTACTTGCTCCTATCGACTGGGTCAACATCCGGGGACACTAGTGTTGCCGATCCTGCAGATCAGCCTTGCCATACATTGAACCGCTTCTCCAGCACCTGGTCGAAAGACTTTCATGTCTCACCGTTCAATCCCCGAGAGGGCATGGCATATACCCTAACCACCGCTGATCCCTTGCGGTGCGAAAGGCCGATCGACAGTCGGATCGTGCTTGTTGCCTCCAATCGGGTCCGACTCATTGCTTCCATCCGCGCTACGGGGCCGGCGATCCGCCCAGCTGCTCTCTCCGCCTACCAGCGATCCCAGCTGATCTTATCGTGGGGGTGGGTGGGGGCTTTGACGGAGCCACGCATCTATTTCCAGGCTGCAATGCTGCATGTGCAACGGAAATTACGGGTCTGGTCTCTGCCGGTGCCATTGGAGAAAACAATCAGTCGGCGCGCAAATCGACTCGAACGATCGCTCGAGTTTTTTGTTAGGGGATACCTACGGCATCGAGTGGAGAACACTGACGGATCATTTACCGTGCGGTATTCCGCTGCAGGACTGTTTGCCAACGACGCGGTCGAGATCATGCAATCACCTTCGGCGCGTGCAGTCTCGAGCAAATGCCCGGACAAAGCCGTTGGATTTCGGGTTCTACGGCCGGACTTCTACACCTCCTTCGTAGAGAGTCGAGCCTTGACCGCCGAAGAAGTCTTCAAACTCTTGGCGGGACATGATTTCCTGCGCGTGTCGCGCATGAATGTTCTTCGGGATCTATTCTGTGACGAATCAGGCTCGTTTCCAGAACTTGCCAAACTTTCTAGACCCGGTTGTCTCGCTTTTCGAATCATCGCCTGGTTCCGAAAGGAGCGGCCCGCAGCGAGTGCTGGTCTGCGTTCTTTGTCCGCCCTGGACTACTACGTGCTGACCAGCTGTAGTCCTGCTGAGCAGAGGCACTACGGGATGCAAGTGATGAAGTTGTTTCTTAGTCGCTACTTTGCCTTTGGGCACGTACCACTCTTTGAAGTCGAAGTTCTTGTCGCCCTCCTGGCTGTGGGGTGGGGTCTCTTGGCCACCCTTAGTCTGGTTTATTCTCCAGATGATACCACTGTCTGATCAAATCTTTGTCATATGGTGCGGTAGAGCGGTAGTTTATTGGTATTGATTCAACGCTACTGCCCAACAAATACTCCTGTAGCCACACATGGTCAAATGCAACCTACTCACTCACTGAAAGTCTGGTACAATGAAAAAGTTAGTGTTATTTACATCCCAAATCGGATTTCTCTGTGCGACCATGGATACTTTGATGATGCTATGGGCGGAGGAATCTCGGCGTATATTCGTGACCCTGCAGCTAGCTCTAGGGTAACTTAGTCACCTCTCTCCTTAACGTCATCTTCGCCTTCTCCACGATAATTCGTCCAGTGGACACAAAATTGACGCATGCCCGTTTCCGCAGTCTATCTTTTTTTGCGGGTTTATAACCTCGACAAGATTACTGGCTTTACCGTGGACCGGATGACCAGCCAACATCAACCCAAACTTTATCAACAAGTGTGACGCGAACCGGGAGCTTAACATCTCGCTCGGACTGCTCGGCATAGAACCCTAATCTGGTGGAATACCATGAAATGATCGGACTAGCCGCCACATCCTGCTACAACATCAGCTGAATGTTAAGGTCACACAAAGACCAGGGGTACGTGCTACGAAAACGTAACTCGGGCGGTGAATTCTGGGAAGTGAATGGTCGAAGTGATTTTTTTCTAGCTTGCAGGAGCATGGCAAGGGAATGTACACATACAGTTTATCTGCATGCAGAGTGACAAAGCACGTCATGCTGTTACTTGAGTGAAGTAGCATCCGCTGCCAGGCAACAAGATCTTGGTCAATCTTTCTGTAGAGTATCATATAGGACATAAATAGCCAGTAGCCAGCAGGAATCACGCTCATGATCTACAGAGTGTACACTGAATATCGTTAAGATCGCTCATTACACGACATGCAAGACAGGTGCTGTGCTCTATATACCGTAGCTGAGATTTGGCTAACATCATTTAGCAAGAAGATAGCCATCATTGGCAGCGGAGCTGCTGGCATGGCTGCCCTCTGGGCCCTTCACCAGCACTCCCCTCACCAGGTCTACCTCTACGAGGCGGCTCCTCGTCTTGGAGGCCACATCAATACTGTAGAGTTCAAGAAGGGGGAAGATGGCGTCCAGGTCGACACTGGATTTATTGTGCTCAACAATTCCACCTATCGTGAGTTCCCTCTCTCGTACTTCACACCTGGTCTAACGGAACAGCCAACTTCTTGAACTTCCTCAAAGCCATCAATGTCCCAACCACGCCCTCGGAGATGTCTTTTAGTGTTTCGCGATTCTCCGATTCGGGGTCATTTGAATGGGCAGGGTCCTCCTTGAGAAACCTTTTCGCTCAAGGCGGAAACCTGTTCTCTCTGTCAATGTGGCGGATGGTGTTCGACATGGTGAGGTTCAACCATTTCGCTCCTGACCTTCTTCGTCTCCCGGATGTGGACAATACCATGTCGATAGGCGAGTACCTCGAGAAGGAGGGATACTCGGCATTCTTCCGCGACAACTACCTAATCCCGTTGACGGCATCGACGTGGAGCACGAGTCCGGACAAGTGCAACTTGCAATTCCCCGCCGTGACCCTCATCCGATTTTTGTATGTTTTTATCTCTATATCACGTTGATGCAAAGCTAATGCTATCAGATACAATCACAATCTCCTTAATACGCTCGGGAACGGACTCGAGTGGCTTGGTGTGACAAATGGCGCAAGGAGCTACATTGATACCATCATGTCCGACTTTCCCTCAGAACGTGTCTTTCTCAATCAGCCCATAGTCTCCGTCGTGAATGATCCAGACTCGGGCAAGGTCAATGTTACCACCGCCAAGGGCACAACGGCCACCTACGACCATGTCATCCTGGCTACGCCTGCACCCCAAGCACTCTCCCTAGTTTCCAAAACAGCAACTCCGCTAGAGAAATCCATCCTCTCAGCATTCGAAACAACCACCAACACTGCAGTCCTCCACTCCGACGAGGCCCTCCTTCCACAGAACCGCCGGGTCTGGTCCACTTGGAACTATCTGAGCAACGGCGCGGCAGACCAGGTATGTGTTACATATAACATGAACCGGGCACAAGGGGTCTCGTATGCGAGATTCGGGTCGGTGTTGGTGACGATGAATCCGCTTTTCATGCCGGATGAGCGCACCATCCAGGGAGTGTTTCAGTACGAACATCCTCTGTTTACTCCGGCGGCGGTGCGGGCGCAGATCATGCTACCGAGGATTCAGGGCACACGAGGTATCAGTTACGTGGGAGCCTGGACGATGTATGGGTTTCATGAGGATGCGTTTACAAGTGCGTTTGGGGTGGCCGGGGAGCTTGGGGCCAAAATTCCGTTTCAGGTTGCTGATAGTCGACTAAAGGGGTGTGCAGTGAGGGAGGTTAGTTGGTTGGAATATGTATTTAAAGTGGTGTTGCAGGGTGTGCAGGGTTTGATAGTGTGTTTGGTGGGAGGGGAAGTGAAAGGGAAGCAGAAGGCGAGGTAGATCTATTGCACACTCCGATGAACATTCAGATCTTTGAATAGACAAGGTTTTTTTCAGTGCTATTCTGGGTGTTGCAATACCTGTCACATTGAATATCCTCCGAGGTGATTATTCACGCAATCTCGTATCATATGATGTACCCCTTGCATAATCTGTCTGACCGAATCTGAGTAGGATCTACGATGCCAAGATTATAATAGACATACTATCTCGTGTCCACATTAGGAATACTGAACATGGGAGTATATCAGAACAATAGGCGGATGAACCCTAAGTGAAGCAAGCACCGTATGGATCTCCCGGACTTTCTCCGATGGCTTCCCCACCCGCCAATCCATCATCAACTAAACAACCCCTCACGCTCTTTACCATCTCTCATTTCACTTCTACCTGTAATCCCTACTCTTCACAAACAACACAACTCCCTCTCAACCATACCCCCACTGTCAAACAACCATGGCTGAATCCCTTCCCCAAACCTACGACGACCTCCCCGACAAGCGGCGCTACTGGCCCGCAGCTCCCAACTCCGCCGACGAAGGGCTAGGGATGCTCCGTCTCCTCACCCCAGCAGTCGTGGCCAACGCAGCACGCACCCAAATCCAGACTGGCGAGCGCGTATGCCTCAACTGGGACCTGGAGAAGCTAAACCCACCAGGTACCCCTCCTTCCACCCCCCATCGTCTCTCATCAACTAACCAAAACACAGGTTTCGGCCGCAAACCCTTCGCCCACCAGGTTAAATGGGTCAGCGAAGGCCACGCCTTCGACGACGAATACCACTTCAATCCCCAGCAATCCTCCCAATGGGACGGCCTACGACACCACAACGCCCCGGCCCAACACCCGACGACCCTGAGCGCCGTGTCTTCTACGGCGGTACTACCTCCACCGAAATCCTCGACCCGTCCTCGGCTCGCATCGGCATAGCCCACTGGGCCAAGAAGGGCATCGCCGGCCGCGGCGTCCTCATAGACTACGCCTCCTACATCCAGCGAACCAAGGGCATAACAGTAAACGCCCTAACCCGCCACACCGTATCCCTGGACGACGTCCTCACCATCGCGAAGGAATGCAACATCACCTTTCAACCGGGCGACATTCTCTTCCTGCGCGTTGGTCTACCGACAACGTGGGATAACATGTCGGATGAAGAAAAGGTCGAGTATAGTCAACAGCAAACCCCTCAGCATGCAGGATTAGAGCAGAGCGAGCGCGTGGTGCGGTTCCTCTGGGACCAGCATTTCGCGGCTGTGGCGGGCGATGCTGTCAGCTTTGAGGTGTATCCGCCGGTAGAGAAGGAGTGGGATCTACATCATTTCCTCCTTGCTGGGTGGGGAGTGCCGATTGGGGAGATGTTTGATCTGGAGGGGTTGAAGGAGGTTTGTGAGAGGTTGGGCAGGTGGACGTTTTTTGTTAGTTCGAGTCCGTTGAATTGTAAGACGGGGGTGTCGAGTCCGCCGAATTGTATGGCTATCTTTTAGGTGGGAGTTTTGGGGGTTTAGGTTGGTGTTGGGGGGAAGAGGAAGTATTCGTTGGGTCTGTACTGGGTGTATTGTGATTGGACTCGTGGCTGTCTCTGGTATCTGCTTTGATAGGTTCGTTAAGCCAAGCATTAATTTGATCATAGAATGGGACAGAGTATGTAGTATACAATTGTCATAGCACATCTGGACATAGTTGCAGCATCCGCTCGGACAATGATCACACAAACTGCACGTGGAGAGTACGCGCTCCGAGCTTTGGGGTAATTTTAATTCATTCTTATTGTTTTCTCTTCTGCTTGATTGTGTCAGTAGCTTCCCATTAAGTGGACTACTCAATACGAAGATGCCATTCAACACCACAGCCTAGTTAAAAACCCCTACGCCCCCATAACCCTATAAACCAACGCCGCCACCACCACCGGCCCCAACACCCACAACCCAACCCTGTACCCCAGCCTCATCATCCCTCTCCACATCACAATCTTGACCTTCTCATCCAACCACTTCTTCTCATTCAAATGCGGAAACGGCACCTCAGGCACCGGCTTGCCCAAGAACTCGCACAACGGCTCCCACCCCTCACTCAACCTGAACTCCAGCAATCTCTCAGGCGGTGTCAACCGTCTCACCAACGCATAATGCTCCTTATACTTCTCCCGACTGACACGCTTCGCATCCTCGGGTCCCTTAATCCCCAACCACCCCTCAAACGTCGACTTATGCACCTTCCCCAGCGGGTGCGTGAACCACCGATCAATGGTATATATGATGGTCACGATAGGATCATACGTATTGGCAATCACGCCGTTCATCCAGCTTTGGTACCACGAGTCGATGTCCCTCTCCACCAGGACTACTTTGGCCTCCGGGTACGCGTTGAGCAACTCCTCCGAGAAGGCGATGGCCGGGGTATCGGAGGATATGGCGGCGTAATCGTGGAGCAGTTGATCAAACTCAACTCGGCCGTAGAGGGGACCTGGTGCGTTGAAGAACTTTCGGTCGATCGCTTCTTGCCACATGGGGATGGTGCCGAACTTGTCGGACATTAGGTGGATTGAGTGCCAGCAGGGGAAGGAGAGGGTTTCGAGGGCGGAGCACATCGCTACATACATACTTTCAGTGTCTTGGTGGTTAGAGTGAGTGGCTGGTGTCCGGTTGGTTATTACTTACAGGCAGTGCCGGTGCGGTTGAATCCTAGGCAGAGGACTTGGAGTGGAACGGTGCGTTTCTTGCCTCGTGGGGATTCGCTGTTCACGGGGCGGAAGAGTTCAGGGTGGCGGTCTTGGGGGCTTGCCATGGTGTTGATGTACATATAGTATCAAGTAGGAGAGTATGATCTGCTGTATTCTGTTGATTGGAATGTGTAGTGAGAAGGGATATTTGATGTTTGAACTACGATGGTCTTGGTGTTGTAGTAGAGGCATCTTATAGTCTTTTCATTCACCTGCCTTAAGCTAGCGCTTACTTGTCGGCAATTGGAGGATTGCATTGATTGGCTTGCTCGTTCATGCATTTAGTCTCATTCACTAGCTCGTTAGCGCTTAGTTGAGCTGAGCTAATGGTGCTGCATAGTGCTATGGACAGTGGTAGATGCAAATATTCAAATGCAGATCAATGACAGATTACACAGGTTACTTTCACTTTCGTGATAAATAGATATAGTCTGAGAGAGAAGTAATATATCAGAACCGTCACACTTGAACAGGTATACAATGTTCGAAAGTGGATATCCACGAGGCAGCTAATCAACACTACCGATTCGGGTAATTCAGATGTAGGCTCTCACTGCGACGAATCTAATCGAAGGTAATATGACAATTAAAAACATATATTACCACAAGTTACCGCATATATAACATTACATGACCTCTACACTTCAGTAATAGACTTCCCAAAAAAATCAGGGCTAATCACCTGCGATAAGATAACTCCGACGGAGGTACCAAGTACCGAGGTAGTTTTTCCGAGATCGCCCCAAGATTGAGTCTCCGGCTTACTTTCTTACAAAACAAACAGCTTGTCTTCTCCTTGATTCAGTCTCCTATTTAAACTCATGCAGGATTCCACTCGTTCATTCTCTTCCTGTTCTCATCTTCTTCTCCATATTCAAGTCCGGGGAATCCCCGTTCCCACTGTACATTCATCCACATTTACATAAACACATAATACATAATACTCATCATCATGGCCGACCTCTCCACCCTCCGCGAAGTCATCCTCCCCACACTTTTTTCCTGGAAATCCCTCGCCATTGTCCTCGCATTACTCAATCTCAAGAACATTCCTTTCTCGTGGCACGTACGTATCCCATAACCCCCTCCCACTCGTATCTGCCAAATACTAATGAAAGATAATGAATACTAATAGATCCGCCTCCTAACCCACCTCCTCCTCAACCTCCGCCGCTCCCCGACCTCCCCACCCTTCCCAACCTGTCCCCCATCTCCAACCCTCACCAGCAAGAACCAAAAGAACATCCAAACCCACCCGATCTTCCACCCGTACACACTCACCACGCGCACCTCCCTCTGGGAAACCGACTACAACTTCCACAAATCCAACAGCACGTATTTCTCCGATCTGGACATCTCCCGCACAGCCATCGTGACAAGGGTATACACACCGGGTTTGGCGCTCGTGAGCTTGGAATTCGACCACGAGTTGAAGAACGGGAAGGATGAGAATGCCAAGGTCAATGTGGGGAAGAAGGTGTATGTCGCGCTGGGGTCGACCTTTACTAGCTTTAAGAGGGAGATTGGGCCGTTGCAGAGGTATCGCGTGTTGAGTCGCGTGGTAGGGTGGGATCGGAAGTGGGTTTATGTGTTGTCTGCTTTTGTGGGGATGAATTCTGGGAAGAATGGAGGGAAGGGGAAGGTGTTTGCTACGGCTGTGAGCAAGTATGTGGTTAAGAAGGGGTGGGTTACTGTGCCGCCGGAGAGGGTGTTGAGGGCGAGTGGGATGTTGCCGGAGAGGAGTGTTGGTGATGGGGAGGGTGAGGATGAAGTGGTGGTTGAGGAGGAGGAAGAGGGGACGGTGGAGGGGATTGTGGAGGGGGTGGGGGAGGTGTTGAGTAAGGATGGTCATGCTACAGGACAAGGGGTATCGGATTGGACGTGGGAAATGATCGAGGAGGAGAGGGTTAGAGGGATGAAGATTGTCGAGGGCTATGTGGGATTAGATGAGAAGTTGCTGGCCGAGTGGGAATAGATTATACCTCCCACTACATCTGCGTTTACTGTACTTTATTTCAGGTTCTGTGTATGTATATCTATATAGATATAGATAACACCTAAGATGGATAGATGATATATAGAAAAGATTCATCAGTAATGATCATTCATGTCATGCATATCATAAACGCTGCTCCATCGTCCCCAACTTCCCTCAAAGCACTGTTCACTCAATCAAGACGACCCGCAAATCTCATTCTGGAGATCGATTCCAGCTACAACCCAACATCAGTCACATCCTCATATACTCCATCCACTTCAAAAGAGAAGGGGGGGGGGAAGCATACCCTGCACCTCATCCCCACACCCATTATTATTCAAACAATCCACCACACCCTGCTGAAAACCGGTATTGGTGCAATAGCAATTAACATCACCGTCGCCACAGATCGTGCTGGACTCCACGCAGTTGCCCTGATATCATTAGCAACACTCCCTCCACATCGTTTTTCCATGACAAGGTCCAGGAACAACAACATACAAGACAATCCGGGATACTCTGCGCCGCGGCGAACGAGAGAATAGTTGCGATAGGGAGGAGGATGGAGAGTTTCATTGTGACAGGAATAAGTAAGAGTAAGTAGTAGCTATCTTGGAGGGATAGAATAGGAAGGAGGTGAAGTGTCGTGCTACCACGAGGAAGTGAGGTGATTTATACTCTCAACCCTCAACCCTCAATTCATCAATACTTATGATATAATGAACACTGCTACGTGCTAGGGATGATCTCCTTGCGTGTGTGTGTGTTGGGGGTAGATCGCATGAATGATACCCAATGCAAAGGGAGTTGAATGTATAGAAGATCAGTTGGTCGTGTATATGCGTGTCTTGATGATCTTTATATCGGTTAGTTAGTACTAACTCTGGGGTGATGTATGTTTAGCTCGGATTGTACATCACTAGGACTATGTATGTATGTCCATGGATGTGTTAGAGTGAGTGGGTATCATACAAAGGTCGGTGTGATACATGGTATGTTACGTAGCAAGTGATATTATGGCATGTTTCATACCTCCCCAAGTAGAATATCCTAAAGGAACGAGGATACGTCGTGACTCTTCATTCCATGAGTAACTATCGTATCTGCAAGGGGCTGCCATCCCGGGTGTTCAGACGCCGCCTTCACGAGGCAGCCACTGCGGTTAATGTGAGACATGCGTCAGTCCTTGCACTTTGGGTCAACTTGTTCAGATTCTCGGTACAAGGAGTCTTGTGAATGTGAGTGTTAGACGCGTAATCGGGGGAAAAGAGATTAGTAACTTGAGACATGATCGTAAATTCTAAGATCTATCATGACTGTATGTCTAGTCTAAATATATCAACAAAAAATGCACCTATATACGCATCCGAACACCCAAAATATAGACAATGTAGAAAAAGAAGGAGGAAATCAAGTCAAGAAGCAAGGAATAATCTATGGCAGGCATCACTGCTTCCGCCACTTCTTCACCCGGAACAAATAATAAAACGCCGCCGCCGCCGCAATCTGCACAACAACATACACCCAAAAGATCCCAAAGTTCCTCCACTTCTCACTCGCCACAATGCCCGTCATACTGATATATGCATCCGCCGTGCTCACAGAGCAGTACTCACAACCCGTCGTAGCATTGGGGTTCAGCAGATTCCCCCCAGCAAGCTCCGCATACTGTCCAAGATACTCGCCGCAGGATTGACCCGTTGGGGGGTCAAGAACCGACAGCTCCGACGACGAGCACACCACTTCCCTTCCTGACACTTGTGTAGACACCATGGCCGACGCCCAGTACGTGAACGGGGATGCGCGGTACATGAAGATCCAGAAGCCCGGGAGAGCGGAAGGCGACTGCATGATACCGCAAAAAGTCAAGGACATGGCGAAGAGGAGAGTGACAACGGCACTGGCTGTGACGGTGTCAGGCATTGCTGCAATTATCATG